GGAGGAAGGAAGAAGGGGGAGGGGAAGGAAGGAGGAGGGAGGGAGGGAGGAAGGAAGGAAAGGAAGGAAGGAAGGAGGGAAGGAAGGAAGGAGGGAAAGAAGGAAGTAGGGAGGAAGGAGGAAGGATGGGGGCGCATAATGAAAGGGAAAAGGCTAAACGCAATGTGGTAGAGTCTGATTTGGATCCCGGGACGGAGAAAGGACATTAGCAGACCGACGTCAAAAGCAACAGTGCGAGCTTTGGCTCGTCTCTCAGTTCTGACCGCAGCTCTGCGGGATGTGACCCTCGGGACGGGCTGGGTAACGGTTGGCCAGAAGCGCTCTACTACCTTTGCAACCATTCTACGGACCTAAAATTACCCCAGAACCAAAGGGCGAGAGAGAACCAGCAGGACACCTGAAATGAGGGCCGTGCCCGGTGCTCACGAGGATGTCCTGATGACCTGAGGCTCCCTGCTTCCAGGCCGTATAACCAGCCTGCCCCCGGGGACTGGGTCTCCCAAACACCCCGGAGACCGGGGCTGGGGTCCCCCGGAACGCTCACCAGACCTGCGGATCCTCAGGATGGGCTCACACCTGCCGACGCCTCCGGCTGAGGGGCGCGCAGACACCCCACGGCCCCCAGGAGCCGCGCTCAGGCCCCTGTGGCCTCACGGTCCCCCTGCCCCCCTGCCTTGCCAGGGCTCAAATGCCCCCATTAATCTGCCCGGGCGGCCTGGGGCTCACCAGGCTTGGAGGCTGCGCCAGATCCCGTGGCCGTCACCCGGCAGCCCCGCACCGCCTGAAGCTCGCCCTCTACCCCTCTGCCCTGCGCTGGGCTCAACAGCCGCCTCCTGCCTCCCGACCCAGGCAGTCCTCGCTCCCAAACAGCTGTGCTGTCAGCCCCGTCCGTTCCCCAGTCCAGCCTGCAGTTCTGGGGACAGAGGTTCAAGACATGCCCTCCCCCTGGGCGGGACAACGTGCTGCCTCAGTTGAGGGCTTTCCGTCCACCCTGGGCCCCCGCCTGGCACAAAGCCCCCCGCTCCTCCAAGATCACATCCATGCGCGCTCCAGGCCCGCGGGGTCTCTGTTTCTAGGCCCTGGTCCTGATTCCAGGCTAAGGGCGTCTGGGAGCCAGCAGGTGCCCGTGTACCTACCTTCTTGGTCCATTCCGCAATCCTGCTCTCAGTGAGGGTCTCAAACACCTCCTGGAAGAACACACTCAGCTTCTGCTGGATCCGGGAGATGGTGACCTCAGATATGGGCAGGCCGGCCACCTGGGCGATGACGTCGGCCACGCGGCCCGAGCCCTCCACCACCACGCAGGGGGTGCCGTTGGTGATGGCGTTATAGATGGTCTGAAACGCAGGGGCCCACGGTGAGCCCCGGGGCCCGAGTGCCCGCCCGGCTCTGACCCCTGAACCACGGGCATCTCGGCGTCAAGGCTACGGGGCTACTGAGAAATGAGGCGAAAACACTGAGTCTGGCAGCCTCCGCTGCTGCGGGCGAAAGGCGCTAATCCTGACACAGGGGCGTCCACCTGACAGACCGGCTCCTTCAGGCCTACTGCTCAGGTGGACCGTGGCCACCGGAACGGGAGCCCTACAGCGTTTCGGCCCACGGGCGTGTGGGTGAGGGAGCCATCCCCGGGGGACCTGCTGCCGGCTTGTGGTTTCGCTCCCTCGTTAAGGCCCAGGGTGAGACCAGGGCCACACGAGGAGACCCCTGGACACCCGGCACGAGGTCAACTTCAGGAAGGGACTCGGACCCCCGCGGGAAGGACACCCTCCACATGAGCGGGCACCGTGCTCTGGGCGTGAGGGAGCGGGGCCTCCATGCAGAGAACCCCGCGTGCGGAGGGGACAGGGGACCAGATGCATTCCTGTCCCCCGGGGACTGGGTCTGAAACGGGGGAGCTCTCCTGCCATTCCTAAGCATGAACACACATTTCCTCCAGTCCCATAAATGCAATGTCCTTGCTCCTGCCCCAAACCTGCAGGCTATAAGAGCATCATGTGTCCCTGCGGTCAGCCTTCCCCCATCAAGGAGATTGTGTTAAAACCACCGAGGAACCTGCTTTACGTCTAGCTGCTAGTCCCATGGGGCTGGGGTGCCCGAGGGCCGGCCCTTCGAGAACTGTGCAGAGTGGCCACCCTGGGGTCCTGCAAGAAGGTGCCGTGCGGGTCCCCCTGCGGCCCCTCCTACTGGTCAGCCACCCAGGCCCGGAGCCAGTGTCCCCCCACCCCGCAGCAGGGTACCTCCTCGAAGGCTGCCTTCCCACCCACAGTCACCACTCTTTCTCCTTGCCCCTCCCCCTTGCCGACGACCCCGCTGGGGTGCCAGTCACGGGGCTCTGGGCCAGAGCGCCCCCCCGCAGCAGGGTTGCACCTCAGATCCCCACCCCACAGGCCAGTACTCACATGCAGTGTGCCGGGTCCCCCCTCCAGCACCACACAGACTATGGGGATCTTGATGGCCACTCCTAGGACGAAGCATGAACCCCGAATTAGGGATGCGGGGGCCCAGACCCTCCCCCTGGGGCCCTCTTGCCCACCTCCCGCCAGCTCCAGAGGCATCGATGGAGACAGGCAGTTGGTACTGAGTGGTTTTCAAAGGCTGACGCTCGGCCGTCAGTGGACGATCTGCCTGTTCTACGTAATGAGAGCAAATTCGAGCCCTGAGATGGCTCGTCCACCTTCTACTTCTGTTCCCTTTCTGGGGGTGCAGGCGAAGGCAGGACTGTCTGCCTCAGAGGCCACCCCGACCAGCCTGCTTTCCTCGGCATGCCTTTCGTGGAGCCTCAAATCTGCGCACGCCAAGCGGGTGGGCTTTAGGCACCACACACATGGCAGGGGAGCACAGCGTCGGGACCTCCATCCTCTGTCCCGTCGCTCAGCCCTCGCCCTGAGCCCCCCCATCCGTCCCGGCAGCCAGGGCACCTGCAAAGACTTCAGAAATCTCTCCGGGGCAACAAACGTCCCCCCATGTGCCGCCTTGGTGTCTCCGGCCCCACACCCCCACCTAGGCTCTCTGGGACACAGCCGGGCTCTCACGCGGTCCCCGGGCCGGCAGCCTCAGCCTCACCTGAGCACGGAGGAGAGCAAGTTCTCCCCGCACGCCGGGGACTCTGACATGCAGTGAAGCTTGAACACCATGGCTCTGAAGGGGCCCGCCCAACCTGGCACAGAGCTAGGACCTGCTGCTATTCCGGTCCCTTCTCCGCCCCTCACATCCTGTGCATTTGCCCTTCCCGTGTCCTGGAACCTGGCCCATCTCACCCACGAGGGAAGACACGTCAGGGCCGAGTTATGCACGTTGCTATTTCCAGACTGAGCCGTGCTTGTGGTGTAGAGTGACTACCGGTGGACTACGTATGACCTGAGGGACAGCAGACACATGGGGGCTCCCTCACCTCCTCTTTCCTTTGTCTGCTCTGATATGAACTTCTCCAGCCTCGTCCTCAGGGGAATCTCGACCCCGTAGCGGCCGTGGGTCCCGTCGTCCACAAGGATGAAGTGGGAGTGGTTACTGTCCAGGCAGGTCAGGTGCCCTTGGCCTTCCTCGTCCATGACGTACTCGGCAGGAAAGCCGCCCTGGGGACGGCCGGAGAGAGTCAGACACAGACAGACAGAGAGTTCTGCATCTTGAATGCCAGAAATGGGGGCCTAGTAGGCTGGAAAGTGACCCCCAAAGATACGAAGTCCTCATTCCTGGAAGCTGTGAACGTTCCCTCATTTGGAAAAAGAGCCCCTATAGATTTAAGTTAAGGATCGTAACACGGGGAAGATTTATCCTGAAGTATCCGGGTGGGTCCTATATGTCTCCACAGCGACCTTCCGAGAGGGAGGCAGAGGGAGATTTGACCACAACAGGAGGAGAGCCCAGTGACCGTGAAGGCAGAGATCGGGGCAATGTGGCCACGGCCGGGGAAAGCCAGCAGCCACTGGAAGGCAAGGACCGGCTGCCCCCCCGCTGGCCTCCGGAGGAAGCAGGGCCCCGCCGCACCGGGATCCAGGCCAGGCGAGGTGGATCCGGAGCCCTGGCTCCGAAGGGGAGAGAACGCATTTCTGCGGCTCTGAGCCACCAGGTGCGCGATCGTCTGTTACAGCGGCTGCAGGAAACCGGAACAGATCTGACAATCAGGAAGTGGAGCGTCGCCATAAGAAACACGCACAAATGTGAGATGGCCTTGGAACCGGGCAACGGGCGGAGACCGGAAGGACGCTGGGGACACGAGGGACAACGTCCGAGGGGCCTTGAACAGACTGCGGTAGGAGCACAGGTGCAAGGGCACGCCTGGTGACACCAGACGGGAGTGGGGGGCGGGCAGAGCGAGCTTCGACCGTCTTCGACGTGCCGGCAGAGCGTCCGTAGCTCTGGACACTGAGGAGCCGCCAGCCAAGGCCCAGAAGGAAATGAGGACCGCGGATCAGAAACCGGAGGGAAGGGGGGGCGCCTGGGTGGCTCGGTAATGACTACCAGAACCAGAGCACCGTGGCGCCTGGGCTCAGGGCTCCTGTGAGGGCCGGGTTCACAGGGTTCAGAGGTCAGGCTTTGGGATCAGAACGCGACACTCTCTGGCCGCGCAGAGGCGGCCACGCCCCTGCTTTCTGCTAAGTCGTTTCTGTGTTTCTAAGACCCGTGGTGGCTCTTACGTGGACCCATCCTGTAATCGCAAGGGGGTCCAGCCACGTCAGCCGCTCACCCTGGCCATCAGGGTCTGTGGTGCGGCTGGGCGTGAGCCCCGTGAGCCCCGGTCTCCTGCACCCCTGTCCAGGCTCCTCCCTCCGTGCTGCATTTACCCTGGTGCCCAGGCAGCAGCCCGTCCACTGCAGACCCAGGGGGCCCTACACGTCACCCCCTCTGACGCCGCCCACCAGGGGAGGTGGCCGAGCTCACCGAGGGGTGGATCAGGTCTTCACGGTTGTGCACGGTGCCCCACGTGGCCACTCCGACGGTGACGACTTCTCCTTCGTTGTGGCTGCTGCTCAGCGTGAAGTCACGCACCGCCTCGCCCACCTGTTTCATCACACCCGTGTGGGAGCCGCCGGTGATGATCCAGGCCCCTGGGGACAGGACCGGAGCTGTGCACCCTCCACGCACACGCCTGATGCCCGCGGCCCCGTGTGCTTCTGACGCCCACTGTCCTTCCTCTGCAGGGCCCGGCTCAGGGGGCTTTCACACTCGTCATCAGGTGTAAGTCTCGGGACCAGGACCACGGAGGAAGCGGCCACAGCGTGATTCTGCCTTCACGGAGCAGCTCTGGGGGCCGAGGGTTCCCACCTTGCTCAGGGAGGTGGTGCGGCCGGGAGCGGGGACTGTGGGCCTCTCCCCCCACCCCGCCCCCCACCCCCCGCCTGCTGCTGCTTCCCTGTCCTGCACTCGGAACGCAAGTGTCTGAATTCTTCTACTCCAAGTCATAAACGTCCCTTCTTCTCCTCAGCTCTCGGGGCCTGAGTGTGGCAGACCGTACCCCTGCTCCTGGCCACTTGTCCTGCCACGCTGCCCACTGCCATGTGACCTGCAGGGGCCCTGATAGGGCACACACTTCCCAGCCCTGTGTGACCTGACCAGGGGATCTGCTCAGGGCATCGCACGCGGGAAGCACCGTGACCAGGGGACCCACCTGGGGCATCGCATTTGGGTAGCACCATGACCAAGGGACCCTCTTGGGGCATCACATGTGGGGAGCATCATAACCAGGGGACCCGCTCTGGGCATTGCACACAGGGAGCACTGTGACCAGGGGACCCACTCTGGGCATCACATGCGGGCAGCACCGTGACCGGGGGACCCGCTCGGGGCATCGCACTCGGGCAGCACCGTGACCGGGGGACCCGCTCGGGGCATCGCGCTCGGGGAGCACCGTGACCGGGGGACCCGCTCGGGGCATCGCGTGCAGGGAGCACCGTGAACACCAGGTCTGGGAGCCCTGAATCTGCACCGGCCATCGTGGCTGCACCTTGCCCACCAGGAGAAAGCAGGTCCCCAGTGCGCTCTGCTCCTCCAGCCCGTGTCCGGATGAGAGGAGACACGGGGTAGATGTGCAGCTGCCTCCTCGGAAAAGGGGTGAAGTTCTCTATCGTTCGGGCTGCCTGCTACCGGGGCAGTGCCGGCCACGGCACACCACCCGGTGCCTAGAAACCAGCTGTGCGTGGTGCTGCCGTAAGGAACCATCTAAAACGTGTGGCCCTGGCTCTGGGGCTGGGAGGTGACAGCAAGGACTTTGCTATCGAACCCTAAAAAGATAACTGTCAAGACGAGGTAAAACCGTCACCTGTGATTACCTGGGGGACAGGTGAGCACCTAATGGGCTCACTGCGAAGGTCACGAGCGTGCCTGGGGGATGGTCGGCTGCATTTAACCAAATCCCACGTGCTGCGGAAGCCCCAAGAGACACGGGCCAGTGAGACCCTGACCGAGCCTCTGTTTCAGGGCAAAGACCAAACGGAGAGCGCGGCCCTCACGTGCTGCTAAAACCAGATCATTAAAGCCAGCGTCCTCTGGGTGGCCCAGTCTCATCTGGACCAGAATCCTTGCTCTCCTGCCCTTAACCAACCCGGCGTAGCCGCCTTGGAGACCACGGGCAGCACGACTGCTTCTCCGGCGTCACTTTGAGGGAGCACCCGGGGCTGCCTGCGTGGAGCTCACGCAGCCTGGGGCCTTGCCCTGTGCTCACTGGGGGTGCACCCCTGGGGGGCACGGGACCCCGAGGCAGTCACGTCATGTGTAAAGATGGACACCGTTGTCCCCCCCTCCCAGATGTGAACAGACGGGTTAGGTAACAGGGGTTTGGTTCGTGGAGACCCTCCCCGAAGGCCCCACGGTGAACACGACCGCCTCCAGCCTCCTCCGCCTCCCGCCGTTACCTCCCGGCTAAACGAGGCCTCCTGTGGGGGCAGAGCAGGGAGTCCCTCTCGGGAGCTGGCTGGAGCCCTGTCTGCCCCACGAGCACGCCCAGCGGCAGCCGCCGTGGGCCGGCGAGGGCTGGGGAGTCTGACTGGGCCGGGCACGGCCTGGGTGGCCCCCGAGGACCCCCCTAGTCCCAACAGCCGTGGTGCTGCCTGCTCAGCCCGCCCATGGCTCCAGCCCCCGAGGGCTACCTGTGGTCTGGGCCACCTTGACCAGGCCTCTTCGGAAGACGCTCTTCAGCCTGGGCTTCATGTTGAAGTCCTTGGCCCCGCCTGTCACCGAGATGAGGAGGTTGGGGACGTCCAGGCCCCAATACTGGGTCATCAGGTGGTAGATCACGCTGGGGGGTGTGTCCTGGGAGAGGCGAACGTACTGCAGGGAAGTGACAGGGCGGCAGGGGGGACCCCGTGTCAGCGGGGGGCCCAGCCCAGCCCTAGAGATGGCAGGGCAGCTGTGGGCACCCCCCCACCAGCCCGCCCAAGAGCCCAGCCAGGTGGGCAGACGCCCTCCACCCTGGGTCTAGATCCAGTGAGCAGAAGCGGCCGCGCCTAAGCAGGACACGGATCGAGAGGAAGGGGGAAGGGGCAAAGGCCCAGCGGGACAACAGGCCGCCCTGGGAAGACCAGCCCCATCTTCCAGCCCCCTCCACCCAGCCTGCACTCCCGGCACCCCTCTGACCCCCGCCTCTCTGCTGTGGGACACACCCGCCCTGCTTTGTGGTGACTGAGAACCCCGAGGGCACCCTTGGGTCTCCCGTGAGCCTCGTGAAGCCCCGCCCACCCCGTCCCTAGTGCTGGCAAGGCTCGAGGCCTCTCCGGAGGCGCCTCAGGTCATGGAAGGGTGACGCGAGTCACAGCGAGAGCAGCGGAGGGGTGGAGACCAACCTTCCCCACCTTCTGGCCCAGGCCCGTGAAAACAATGTCACCAAAGGCGTCCGTTGGCATCTCCTGGACATGCTTTTTTGGGTCCCAATCCTTGCCCTGCCAAGTGTGGGGCCTGGTAGCCTCCTCCAAGTGCTGCTGGCGTGTGTAGCCACACTCGCACACCACCTTCCTGCAAAGACCACACGGTCACAGTCGGCGGAGGGAAGGAGGTGCCCCATGCCCCCTGCGGGGGGTGTCAGCAGGGGCCCAGCGGAGCGTCAGGACCCCACCCCCCGCTGTGAGGAGGAGCCGTGTCAGTGAAAGCCCAGCGGGGAGCTGAGGCTCCCACCCCTTCCCACCGAGCGTCAACCCGGGCTGAGAGGGGCTTGGACTCCCATCGCCACGTGGCGGTAATGAGGCAGGGCGCCCCCCTCCCCCACAGACACGTCATAGGGCACCTGCTAAACCACAGGATGCAGTCTCATAACATAATACCCCAAAGGTCAAGGTTTCAGACTGAACATCACCATCACACCAGGAACCAGGAAAATCTCCACCGGAATGAGAAAAGACAGCAGCCACCGAGGCCAAGGTGACGCTGTTGTTAGAATCATCTGACAAGGACGTTAAGGCAGCTACCATAAAACTGCTTTACCAAGGAATCACGAACACACTTGGAAAAAAGGAAAATGTATAAAGTCTCAGTGAAGAAATGGAAGACATATCAAATGGAAATTTAAAAACTGAAAAGAATGCACTAACGAACCAAAATCTTTTCAAAACTCAGTGGATGGACTCAGCCACAGAATGAAGGTGGCAGAGGAAAGAATCTGTGAACTTGAACGCAGAGCATAGCAATGACCCACCATGAACGCCAGAGAGAAACAGACCTAAATGAACAAGGACGTGAAGAGCCTCTGAGCCTCAGAGCTGTGAAGGAAGCGGGAGCAGGCACGTCACAGAGTCCCCAAGGGAAGAGGGAGAGGGGGTGGGGCCGAGGGGAGGGGGGCGGGGCTGGAAACGCATGTAAAGAAATTGTGACCAGCCATGATGAGCACTGAGTTAGGTACAGAAGTGGCTGTATTGCACACCTGAAACCAATCTAACACTGTATGCTGATTACACTGGAATTAAAATTAAAAACTTAATAAAAAATTATGGCCCAATGGGAGCTTTCCTAGGAATGCGAGGTTGGGTTGTCACTTAAAAACCAATCAACAGGGGTGCCTGGGTGGCTCAGTCGGTTAAGCGGCCGACTTCAGCTCAGGTCACCATCTCGCGGTCCGTGAGTTCGAGCCACGTGTCGGGCTCTGGGCTGATGGCTCGGAGCCTGGAGCCTGCTTCCGATTCTGTGTC